AGTTGTTTACATCGAAATACGAACCAGGTACATGACTTGCTCCTGTCAAGGTTAATTTACCATGCGCACGTAACATTACGTTTACATCAACGTTAACCATGTTATGCGATAGTGTTGTTACAAAGTTCAGAGTTCTTGTTTAAGTTTTAAGGCAGGATTCAGATTTCATCATAGAAATTCAATATGTACGTTCGTGGCTTGGATTGCTCTTCCAGGTCAAGCTACCATACTAAGTGCCTGGTCTTTTCTTGTTGCTTGTCAAGTTACATCGGGTACCGTTCCTGGACATGCGCACGTTCCTATCACGATGATGATAAACACYTTTTTCTGGTCAAATTACCACGCGCATTTTCCTGGCACCCCTGTTACTCGATACCAATAGTTCTGACCCACTTTTCCTGGCCAGTTAACCAAAATGTTAGTGGTATGGCAGATGTTTGCTTCTAACTTTGTTACTGAGAATTTGGCATCGCGATTTAGATGGTCCCTGTTCCTGGACCACGTTCTTAGAAGATGAAAACATTCGTCTTTGTTATGTAATGTCCACTTGTTAAATTAGTACTTTTCCTGGTCAAATTACCAAGCTCACGTGCCGTGCCCTAAGGTTGTTTACATCGTATTTTTTCTTCCTGGGCAGTATCACTTACCATATCGTGCTTGGAAACCAGCGGTTGCTTCCGTTCCCATTGTGACGGAGAACTCAAAAGTCAAGGCAAGGAGCACGAACGCATCATAATCCTATTCTTGTGGTTTTACACTACATGTTTTTCGCGTGTTTTTGGGATTTACTTCCTTGATGTAGTAAATAAACAAATTGTTATGAAGGAAATTCGTGTTACAAAAATGCACCTTAGAAACACATTTGCGCAGAAGAAAAGACTCAATCAAATCTGGGAAGCTTGCCAAAGGGTTTAAGCACAAATTGGCTTACAATGATAGTATCCAAGAAACCAGCTTTCTTTGACATTGAACTTTAGAAGATTATAATTATAATTTGATTGCATTACGCGGAAACTTGCCTCACAATTCTTATCAACACATACAAACTAAAGGGCTTTGAAGGATCCTATGAGTAGAGTAGGAGTGGCATTATTTTATTGGTGAGCACGTATCATTTTGGAAGCCCGCATAACAGTGTTTMAGTTATATTATGCCTACTTAAAAAGCTTGTAGCTCGTGCATTCAACTGAACAATAATAGAAGAAGGGCCAATAGAATTCATCTCTTTTGTCATTCCATATTTTTGGGATGATAGCAAGTCCTTCTGGTTAGCACCCTACACTTACTTTTAAAATGACCTTCCCCGGCTTTCCTAGTGCAAAATACGACTGGATTGCCTAGAAAACAAGCGTTTGATAGAGCGAGAAAGCGAAAACTATAATACAAGGGTTTCAACTTGAAGCCAGTTTAGTGACAGTTTGAAACTGTCAGGAAAAAAAATCGACTCTGTACTCTGAATGTAGTCTCTTTTCCGCCAGATAAGTGGACTTGATTCAATGAATTGAAACATTTAAACCCACAAATAGTTTGTAATTAATAATCTAATTACTACTTTAGCCGAGAGATAACTAATTCTTAAATATTCCCATGGAGGAGAGTTGAGATCGAAGGATGATTTTTATTAAGCAATCTACCTAAATGATAATAATATTTAAAAAAGTTATAATTGCAAAATTTGTTCTTTATTCAATTGAACCATCTTTTAAAAATGACCTTAATTATGCCGTATTTTTAGAACCCTTTACATAGGGAGGGCAAAAAGAAAAGAAAAAGAATATAATCTATATTTTCTTGTGTTTCAAGGAAACATAGTGATTCTGCTGGACCTCTGCACYATGTCAACTTCCTCTCTCAGCTACAATCCAGTGTTCAATACTTGCATAGTCCCTGACTGAGAAGGTGTATACAAGGTATTCCTTGAGATGATAAACTGATTTTCAGCAAAGATCGAGTCGACACCAAATCGGCTAGCAATTTCAACTACAGCGCTGAAAATCAATAGGCATTACGTCAGCAATTTTCGTGCATCGGTTAAGGGTAACTCTTACTCTCCTCGATATTATGATATTTCTCCTGTATCCCTCACCTTCTTACTAATATCCAAGTTATCGTCTAATATTTCAGTTGTGTTCATTTTGACACAACTGCTCGAAGGGGACAGTATYACGTGACCATGACCTAATGTGTTTTTCTTATATGATCAACTAGTAAACACCGATTGGATAGAAACTCAGTGATTGGTTGAGATGGTTCGTAAACCCCTTCCCACATCCAAAACATTGTAATTCTGCACGATTTTGAGAAGTCAGAAGGAATTATTTTGGTTTAAGATTCTTTTCAATTTTTTTCAAATTTGAAACTTTTTTATCATTACGTACTTAGTTAGTCAGTTACCTGTCGCGTGCGCCCGCGCGCCATCTCACTTGCTGAGATATTAAGTAAAATATGAGAACATTCAAGCCCTGATAACGTGTGAACTAGGTTGATATKTTAACTGCGTAACGAGGTCAAAAAGCATAAAGAAACCACCTCGGAGCTCGAGAGAGAGATTTTATCTCGAATAGACAGATACTTGGATTGCAAAATACGTATTGAATAAAGGCTACGAGGCGTGGAACCCAAATTTATTCATAAACGTGCATATGGGAATCCTAATGGATCAGATGCCCCAGCTAGAATAGTAGGATACCCAAAGGAAGCCCAAACAAGGTTCCTGTGTATGGTTTATAAGGGAATGTATGGGAGTTATGATTAAGGTCATGAAAATAAAATGTTTCACTCAACAATTTGCCTCAAAACTTGCTGCAGTTGTTGCTTTTACTTTGTTCAGTCTTCTAGCGACGTTTCAGCGCGATTTGAGGCCGTTTAGTGGGTTAGATACCTAACCTTATTTTGCGATTTCCAAGATAGTTGAATGTCACTGGACCAAAGAAAAKCACAGGGTCTTTATTCTCTACTGCTGAGACAACTGCAGTGCCTTTGGCTTCAAGCTTCAGTGGCAGGCCAAGTATCGTTGGTATCGCTGCTTCGACATCGAGGAACAGCATACTCTTGGTAAAACTCGTATCGGTATTGCCAGCTACCGCCATCTTATGCACAAAGTCTATTATACCAACGGCGCTAGAATTCTTGTCTGCAAGTGGCCAGTTGGTCTGCTTGTGAAGATATGGATCATGAGCGATAAGCTCGCTTATAGTCGAAGGCAGGTCGTTTATCTAAGCGAAGGAATAAAGAAAACCAGAGAGAGTAATTAATTCAGATATATTTT